TAAAAACCATGAGATTTTAAAAAGTGAGTGAGAGAAAGTTCTTTTCATTTGCCTTCTGGTTCTTGAGATTTTAGAGGATCTCGTTTTCAATCTTTTCTCTGCAACAATGAGGGCTAGGGTCTTACTTTAAAAAAATGAAAGGCTGAGATTCTCACCCAATCACATAACTCCATGATCTGGGGCTTGAACAAAAACATCAGATATCATGAGATTTGTGATAAAAATCACAAGAAATGGCAACCCTACATTCATTTGCAATGTAACGTTAGGGTTTCCTTTCCTTATTTGACTCAAGTTTCTTTATACTGGTAGCTCACTTACAAAGCAACTTTTCTGATTAATTAATATCTTTAGTGGTACACGCTCTCCACTAAGAACACTGATTCCTTTTTTCTTTTTACTCCCCAAGTATAGTACCTAGATAATGCAAACACATATTACAGTTCTGTCTAAATGGATCTGGTGTGACATGAAACATGCCAATATGGTGTAATCTTAAACGTGGGTTTCTAAAAAGTGAAGTTCTAAGAACTGGGACTGACACAAACACGTTTCATCATTTTAATCAACATTTCTTTGTTTTACAAATATATGAGAATAGACAAGAACCAGGTCCTGCAAACCTTTATTCATATGAAAAATCATACATACACACACACACACACACACACAATCATAGCTACCACTGTCCCTTCCTCAATATGAATAGCTAGGGAACAGCTTTAATTCATGCTCCACACTGACCAACTAGAGTGCAGATCTGACACCAGTGTTTCTGATCAGTGACAGTCAATGTTGGAGCAAGGACTTCTTTGTGGCCCCCTAGTCACTGCATGCATAGGATCAGTGTAATCATTAGTACCCCAGGCCAGTCATGCATCAGAGCCTGAGCCATAGTACAATTTGGATGAAGGGGAAAATGTGGGCCAACAGCTATCCTTTAAAATACAGAGTCCAACACTGCACAGGACTTTTGCCTCTGTCCTTCCTTCATACATTCTCTTCCCACCAGCAGTGGTAACACAGAGTGATCAAAAATATGTATAGCAGCCGTGTTATCTGATGGGTTTATTTAACCTCCTCTCTTAGATGTAGTGACTGTATATTTGGAGCATGGCAGCCTTAAATAATAACTCTTACATAGAAGTATTTGACCTATTATCTCAGATATAATTGGCTACCTCTGCATAGCTAAGGCAAAGGCATCAGAACTGCAACAAAACCCATATATAATCATCATTATAATTATTTAATATATTCAGTAGCCTCTACATGCATTTCAATAGACCAGTATAAAAATAGTAAATAACACAGAACAGTCTCTAAAAATATGTATATACATAGAACTTCATTATTTGTATGTGAAAGAAAACACTACTGACTATGTCTATGTGTATTCTAGACTCTCAGATGTCAGCTTCTGCTATTATTTATTTTAGTGTGGTATAAGTATCTTATTGGCCTGAATTTGGGAAGATCGCATTGTTCCCAAATGGCAATAACACAACACCATTATTTATCCCACATAAACCATATGAATTACGGGGGGAAATGCTTTACAAATATCTCAGAGAATTGCATTGGTATTATTCTTAATATCCTACTTGTGAGGGAATTCTGCACCACTGCGCAATGCAGAATTTGCACAGAAATTAATGTTTTTGCGCAATTTCCTTCCCCCCGCCACAGAAATGGGCTGCAGAGCTGCTGGCTGCCACTAGGGGGCACTGGACCCAGCAGATCCAGAGGGGGGAGGGGGAGGAAGCTAGAGGGTGCCGGGAAGCTGCAGTTCCCTACACGCCCTGAAGGAAGGAGGCACCGTGCATAAAACTCCATACAAGTCCTGGACCCAGCATCAGGCTGTTTCTCCCTCTGGATCCCTGCGCTCTGTGGAAGAGGGGATGCAAGTGTCTGGGCTGCGGCGGGGGGCGGGGGCGCGCAGCTGGGCTCTGGGGAGGTAGGGGGTGCATGTGAGTGTCTCGGCTGGGGAGGCGCCCTGCAACTCGGCTCTGGAGGGGGAGGAGGTGTGGGTCTCTGGCCCCCCTCCTGGGCTCTGTGGGGAAGGGGCAGAGAAACAGGAACTGGGTTGTTGTAGGGGTTTCCTTAACTCTCTACTCCTGCAGGAATTTTTTTGTGTCTGTATTGTTACAGACATTGGGCTGGTCTACACCAGTGGTTCTCAAAGCCGGTCCACCGCTTGTTCAGGGAAAGCCCCTGGCGGGCCGGGCCGGTTTGTTTACCTGCCGCATCCGCAGGTTCGGCCGATCGCGACTCCCACTGGCCGCGGTTCGCCGTCCCAGGTCAATGGGGGCTGCGGGAAGTGGCGCAGGCAGAGGGATGTGCTGGCTGTGGCTTTGAGAACCACTAGTCTACACTATATAGTTGCTGATAGGTATTTTGAAATGAAATACCAAAATAATTGAAACTCGTGTGACTGTATACTGTTATTTTGACAAATAAAATGTACAGATTTTTGCAGAATTTTAAAATATTGTGCACAGAATTTTATTTTTTTTTGGCACTGAATTTACCCAGGAGTAATATCTCCTCTTCAGGTTAAGCTAAACTGCCTTAATTGCCAAGGGGCGAAATGTCAGACCTAGGTGCTAAATTAGCACCTACTTAGGTATTCAGGAACCTAATGATGATTTTCATAGTCATCAATTGGGTGTCTAAATAAGAAGTTAGACACCCAACTTCAGCAAAGTACAGTAGAACCTCAGAGTTACGAGCACCTCGGGAATGGAGGTTGTTTGTATCTCTGAAATGTTCGTAACTCTGAACAAAACGTTATGGTTTATGGTTCTTTCAAAAGTTTACAACTGAACATGGACTTGGTAAAGTTTCAAAACTGTACTATGAGAAGAAAAATGCTGCTTTTCCTTAATTTTTTTTGGAGTTTACGTTTAACCCAGTACTGTATTGTATTTACTTTTTTCTTTTTCTTTTGGTCTCTGCTGCTGCCTGATTGCTTACTTCCAGTTCCAAATGAGGTGTGTTTGGTCACTTCTGGTGTTCATAACTCTGAGGTTCTACTGTAAGTTGGCAAATACACCCCTGTGTGTCCAACTGTACAGGCTTGGACCAAGAAAAAAAATTCTGCACTATAGTCTTAGCTGGTGTAAATCAGTGTAGCTCCTTTGAAGACAATTACAGCTTCCACCATCTGTTCCTCTAATTCATTGTTTCAGAAACTTCTGCAAATGATCTAGAATGTTTTTTCTTTACACAGAAGTATTGCAGTCTCCCCAAGAACTTATTCAAAACCTACCTGGGGAAGTGGACTCATTTACAGAGTAGGTGTCAACCCCACATGTGAGTCATGTGCCCATGCCAAACTCATGCCAAGAAAGCCTTTACACTATCCCACCTCATAATGTAATGAGGTATTCAATATATATATGCCACACACATACACACAGACCAAAGTAAAAAAAATAATAGCTACACTGTACAACTGCAGCATGAAAACATCCAGTAATAAAAAGAGCTCCGACTCTTGCAGCATTCTAGGTGCAAGCGCAACTTGCCATGTCTCTGTCCCTACTCCCATCTCATGACAATTCTGCTACAGGTGCATTGACATCATCGTTTCTTTCAAGGATGTCACGGTCTACTTTAAAGCAGAATAGAGACTTAGCCAATGAATGGTAAAAGGGATTCCAATTAATGAATTCCTGTCATTTGTTTCCAGTGGCACCCACAGTGTGTTAGGCTCAGGACAAACACAAGGCGCTGAATCAAACATGAAAGGCTGAATAAGTGAATATATTCTTCAGACTTGCAGTCAATGGATTGCATTTTAAAACAAAACAAACCTCTTTTGAAAATGCTCCGAATAAACTGTCTTTCTGGGGTGCCCAGCTGCCAAAGTGTTCTCAGCACCTTATGAAGCACACAAATCATTTTGATTAATCAAGGTGATGTTGTGCGAAAAAGTCTTTAAGTTCCTCTTTTAAAAGGACCCAAATCTCTGGCACTTCTGAAGCCAACAGGGCAAGGTAGTCCAAAATACTGATGCTGTGATAACCAAAACATAACATTAAATAAAAAAGATGGGCTGAATTTCTTCTGCTGCTATACGACTGATTGATATGGCTCTGCCTCTAGTTAGAGATAGTCCAGACATATTGTGTTGGGCGTTTGGTAATGTACACGACACCCCATCCATTCAAGGCTTTAAACATTACAATGAATACTTTAAACTCGATCTACAAACCAAGAAGCAGTAAATGCAGACAGTGAAAGAGTGCATCAGCCTAATGCCCTCTGGCCATTCTCAGAAATAATCATGCTCCAATACCAGCAGTAGGGAACTGGCCTGCGTCGTAGGCAGCCTAGTATAGAATGCCTTGCAGCAGTCCAATCCTGATGTCACAAAAGCCTGTGGTACGGTATTGCACCAGTCAGGATGTAAGAGCTGATTATCTTAAAAGCAGAAAACCAGCTAGATCACAGCTAATCATCTACAATTACTAGGTAGTCCAGTACCATGCTCAGCTTCCATGCTGAAGTGGCCTACTCTCATGCCATTCTCTACATATTGCATTTCCTAGGTCTTCTCATTCTCCTCAGACCTCCTGAATGAACCAGACCAGGGTCAGGTCCATTTTGCTACAATTTAAAGATGTCTCCTGTAGGGATTTCAGACTAAGCAGATGATAAACCTCTGTGTGAAATCACCATGTAATATAAATCCACAGACAGTGGTTGCTGTATGTGTACATGTGTCAAGTGTGCCATATGCATGTCAGTGTACCCATGCAGTACAGCTGCACTGGCAGAAAAATTAACAAGGCTCAGAGTCCAAGATACACAATGCTTTGGGTAAGTGTGCAGTAGCTTTCCAGTTCTGCCTGCTTGCCACTAGCCACTTTACGCATTGGAAGAAACACTCTGATGCGGATTCCCATTCTGAGACTCATTTGTCTTATAACTGGCCTGTGCATCATCACCAATACCATCCGGTGATTTCAAGTCTGCCTTATCCACAGGCGTGGCGGCCTTAGGCGGTTTGCAAGCAAAGCAGAGGTACTTGAAACACGACAGCAAACCTTCTGAAATACTGGATGAGAAGAGCTTTTTGCATGGGTGGCAGAACTGGTAGAACACCAGCATGAACAGGATGGCCATGCAATAGCCAATCAGCAGCTGCAAGACTAATAAAGGGGCACACACGTACAGGTAGACGTCTGTTTTATAGACATACCACAGCAGGAGGAGGAAGGAATTCTCAATGAACCTTAGCATATAATATACAGCCAGTCGGTACCAATTTTGGGATTTGTTAATTAAGTCAGGATCATTTAGCTTCAGCTGCACTGCTGACCAGCAGAACATGTTAATACCAGCATACAAGAAGGTGAGGAGGCACAGTACAATGGTCGTGCCCACCCTGGTCAAAGCCTTCTCTATGTTTTCAGGGAAAGGGGACTTGCTTTGCCAAAAGAGAATCCAGGGGTAAAAGAAAAAGCCAAAGAAATTCAGGAGCACCACAGGCAGGACCCAGATTTGAAGCACAGAACTGAAAAGGACCAGGACTACAACCCGGGTGGCAATCTCAAAGCTTCTCCAGAGGAATATGCAGAGGTAGGCTGCAGCTTTCACGCTGATGTCATAATCATCATACTTAATCTTAATGGCGAGGATGTTGCAGCGTAATGCACCATATACAATCGACAGCAGAGAAAGGACCATGAAGATGCCTGGGAAAAGAAAAGATTATCAGAACCTTCTGTTTTAGCAAATGTTAAATGAAACACATTCAGATAGTACAAAGCAACTGGAAAGCTGCTTTAACAGGGCAGCCAGGGACCTCCCTTCTCTAGGGCAGTGGACCCCAAACTGTGGGGCATGCCCCCTATGAGGCGTGGAGGAACGTTTTGGGGGGGAGAGTGCAGTGGGGCCCAGGCCAGCCCTCACAGGGGGTGGAGAGCGCCACCCAGCCCCGCTCTGCCCCCAGCCCACCTCCCCAACTCCAGATACAGCTCCACTCTATCTCCAGCCCAGCTCCGGCCCTGGTGCCAACCGCAGCTCCGCTCTGCCCCCACTCTGTCTAGGGTTGCCAACTTTCTGATTGCAGAAAACCGAACACCCTTGCCCCACCCCTGCCATTTTCACCCAGCTGGGGCAGAGGGTTGGGGTATGTGAGGGGGCTCTGGGCTCGGAGGTGGAGCTGAGGGGTTCAGAATGTTGGAGGGGGCTAAGGGCTGGGGCAGGGGGTTGGGGTGCGGGAGGGGGTTTGGGGTCTCGCTTACCTCAGGCAGTTCCCAGAAGCAGCTGGCATGTCCCTCTGGCTTCTATGCACAGGAGTGTCCAGGGGACTCCGCGCACTGCCCCCATCTGCAGGCACTGCCCCCGCAGCTCCCATTGGCTGCAGTTCCCAACCAATGGGAGCTGAGGAGCCGGTGCTCGGGCGGGGGCAGCATACAGAGCCCCCTGGCCACCCCTGCGCCTAGAAGCCGGAGGACATGCTGGCAGCTTCTGGGAGCCTCGTGGAGCTGGCGGCGTTTGCGGCCAACCAGACTTTTAGCAGCCCAGTCAGCTGTGCAGACCAGAGCCGCCAGGGTCCCTTTTCGACTGGGCGTTCCAGTCGAAAACCGGACGCCTGGCAACCCTAGTTCTGCCCCCAGCCCAGCTCTGCCCTCACTCGCTCTCCACCCCCAGGCCAGCTCCACTTCTAGCCCCAGCTCCTTCCCCCCTTCTCAGTTATGCCCCCAGCTCCACCTTCAGCCTAAGCTCCTCTGCTGAGCCAACTGTGCAGTAATGAAGGGGGTGGGGGGTGCGGACAGAGGCCATTACTGGTAAGGGGGGGAGCGCGACAAGAAAAGTTTGGGCAACACTGCTCTAGGGGGAATCCCTAAGTAGTATGCAGCCATTCTACACCCCACCCACTCCTGACCCCATCCTTTCACTGACGTAGAGGGTGTGGTCACAGTAGATGGGAGCATCACCAGAGTGCACTGTGCTCCGGCAATCCAGGGCTGACAAAATGACCCCTATGGAGTTGTTCCTGCCAGCACAAGTTAGAGCCTCTGAGGTTATTCTAGCTTCTGCCAAGGGCTAAACCAGCTCCTGGACGGCCCCAGGATCGGGGGATGAGGGGAGCAGAAAAGTAGCAGAAAGCAATGTCTGTCCCACTCTCCTCAAAAGGAAACAGCGTCTAGCAATTGTGGTCAAAACATACTACCTCACCCTTACAGAGGGAGCCTTTCTCCCTACCAAACTTGCACACTAAAAACAAGGGTGAACTTGGTAGCAGCTAATACCCAGCTTATTTGACCATGAATGGAAAAGATCTAACTAACTACACTGTGTGTGGTCAGTTGATCAGACTCGGATCACAGGCTGTTACTGGCACCCTACCCACTGTGATCATAAAGGTTACTTGGGGGAATAACCTTTGGGCATGGGATTTTGGCAATGGTGCTCACACCTATGGAATCAACCACCCATCGATTAGTGACTAGTGGTAGGCTGAGTTAGTTTTTAAAATCACAGCTCACGGTGCTTTATGTCTGATGCTACTTTTATCTGGCTGTAAATTAGGAAACACCTTGGGACATTTGTAAAAAACAACAACCCCAAACACTATGTAAATGCTTTAATAAAATAATACTTTGCAATAGCATAGTGCTTTTCAACCTAGGATTTCAAAAAGATTTACAAAGGTACTATTTATCCCTATTTTCTAGATGGGGAATGCTGAAGAAACCAAAAGATTTAAAGTGTTTTTTCCAAGCTCTATTGTTTGTGCAATATCTATCTGTCTGAGGTACTTATATGGCCCCCCTCACTGTAGTATCTGAGTGCCTCACAATCTCTAATCGATTTATCCCTCACAACACTCCTGTGAGGTAGGGAAGTTTTATGGAGGGGGAACTGAGGCACAGAGACTTGCTGATGGTCACACAGGAAGTGTGTGGTGGAGCTGAGAAGTGAACCCACGTGTTCCAGGCCAGCACCCTAGCCACTGAACCTCCTCCGTCTCCTTGTGGAAAAGATATATGTGGCATCGACTGAACATTTATTCACCTGACTACATTTTATTTTCTTTATTTCTCTAGCTCCCCCAAAATTATAGAACCTGCCGGACTGAATTTAGAGATGCTAACTTGTACCTATGGAAATCCATCCTTCTGCATTTCCCCCACACCTACTTATGATTGATTCCTCAAGTGAAGGGGCTTCATTGTTATTTAAACGCTGCAAAGAGTGTTTTGTGTCTGGCACCTAAGGTGACAGCTGCTGGCACTACAGCAAGGCTTTGTGTTGCCCGGATGGGCATCTCCTTACAAAGCTCCCAGGCACTTATAGCAGCAAAGTGCAGTCTCTCATCATGAAAATGGGAGTTCGGGACTGTCATGCAGTATCTGAACTCAGTGTCACGTGAAACCGTGACAGCAGCATTTTGATACTCCATAATATCAGTTGCTAAAGTGCTTTTTTAGCTGACTACTGGGATTTGAGCTGTAAATTAAGATACTGAAAAAATGCATCAGCAGACTCAGATAAATGAGAACAGAGTTTTCAAACCTGATGCCTAAAGTTAAGACTCCTCAATCTATAATTAGGCACCTAAAAATATGTGGCTTGATTTTTCAGAAGTGCTGAGCAGCCACAACACTGCTGGGTGCTGTGTATGTTTGGCACCCATGAAAATCAGGCCACTTTTATTTTAGGTGTTGAATTATAGATTTAAGACACAAGTTTTAGGCATTCATGTTTGAAATTTTTAGCCTTAACCTTTGCATTTTAATACATGGGAGTGTTTTAAATGCAAATAATTAAAGTAAAAACAATAAATGATACAGTCATTTCTTTTAGAGTTTAGGGGGAAATATTTGCTGAATGTTAAACTAATTGGTGATGCTACAGCACATTCTATTTTATTAGATAAAATAAGATAAACAGATTAGGTAGATCTTAATTGTCATGTCGATTATTTTAATTTAGTGCTTAGCAACCAATGCTGTCTGCAACCTTCAATTAGTGTATGTTTCATTATCCTCCAAAAGGACCGTATTCACTTCTTTATTACAGCCATGCTCATGAGGTTCTTCTGTTCGAAGGAATTAATCTCTGAACATGACTCTGTAAGAAATGGAGCTATTTTAGGATCTTGGAGTAACTAGGGGGATTTTCCTTGTACATTTTAACTACCAGTGTGTCTTGAAACATCTCTCAATTAATTTGGAATAGAATGTCTGATAAGGAATTATCCATGTATTTAGACACTCAATATCAGTTTGTAAGGCCAAATAACAATTACAGTAGTATATAGCAACATGCATGTTCCATAATGGGGAAGGATTTCTCCTGAAAATGCATTATGTATTTGCTTGTTTATCACTTGAATTTTTAGCATTTTTTCCTTAAAAACAAATTCCTATGTTTTGTACATGGTATGAGGATTTTTTAAAACATTGTCTCCTACAGAATACTGGCCAAAAGCAGAACAGCAAGTGAACACAGTTATGAATACCAATGAGAGCCTGTTCTTTCAGCACTCTTAGGGTATGTCTACACTACAAAATTAGGTCGGATTTATAGAAGCCGGTTTTATAGAAACCGGTTGTATGCAGCCGATTGTGTGTGTCCCCACATAAAATGCTCTAAGTGCATGAAGTCGGCGGACCGCGTCCACAGTACCGAGGCTAGCGTCGACTTCCGGCGCATTGCACTATGGTACCTATCCCACAGTTCCCGGAGTCTCCGGCGCCCATTGGAATTATGGGTTGAGATCGCAATGCCCGGATGATGCAAAGCAGTGCCGCGAGGGGTTCTGGGTACATTGCGTCAGGCCCCTCCCCCGCCGTCACAGCAACGGCAGACAATAGATTCGCGCCTTTTTACCTGGGTTACCTGTGCAGACAACATACCACGCCAAGCATTGAGCCCGCTCAGCTCAGCTCACCGTCACCATATGTCTTCCGGGTGCCGGCAAACGTGGGACTGCATTGCTAAACAGCAGCAGCAGCTTACTGCCTTTTGGCGGTAGACGGTGCAGCATGACTGGTAGCCTTCATTGGCGATCTGGGTGCTGGCAGCCATGGGGCTGGCAGCCGTGGGGCTGCATTGCACCAGCCCCTTGCCTTTTGGTAGAAGATGGTTTATTACGACTGGTATCTGTCGTCGTCGTACTGCAGTGGCTGTCAATCATGGGCACCCGGTCAGACAATGATGGTTATCAGTCGTAGTATGCTATTTTCAGCCAGGCGCCCTGTTGGATCATTGCACGTTAGCAGAGTCGTAGCATGCTATTTTCTGCCAAGTGCCCAGTATTGTCTGCTAAGCACCCAGAAGAGGCCGATGGCGATCTGGGTGCTGGCAGACATGGGGCTGGCAGACGTGGGGCTAGATTGCTACACAGCAGCAACCCCTTGCCTTTTGGGCAGTAGATAGCATATTACGATTGGTATCCATCATTGTCATATTGCAGTGGGAATCAGATGGTGCAATAGACCTGAAGGCTTACTGCCAAGCGCCCAGTATTTGCTGCCAAGCACCCAGAAAATGCCAAGGGCTATCAGTCATGCTGCACCGTCGTCTTAAGATGTAAAAAATAGATTTATTCTGCATTCATTTGCTTCCCCCCTCCCTCCTGCTAAACCCAGGCTTTTGAGTTCAATCTTTGGGGGGGGGGCATTCTGTGTGACAGTTGTTTGTGTTTCTCCCTGATGCAAAGCCACTTTTCTTGATTTTA